TGTTTGGAGAGTGGCGTCTCCACGGACCCTGAGCCATGCGGGTTCGCCCGCCCACGTCTGGCTGTGCGTGGCTTTCCCGTGTCTGGGGGAAAGGGCATCCTGGTGGTTGAGCCAAGCCCGGAGTATGTTTGGACCCTTCGGGGCTCCCCGGGCGAGGCAATACACCACTTCAGCCTCTGCTTCTCATAGACGGGAGTGCTGGTAAGGCCGGCCAGAATGATTCTGTCCTAGTCGCCACATCTACTATCCCCTCCCTTCTTTCACACTTGTCTTCTCCTTCTTTTCACTGTTTTCATTCTCTTCTTTCCTTCCTCAACTTCTTTGGCGGCGAGGGCTAACTTTGGGTGGCGACAGACCCCTTGTCCAGAACCACACTCGGTTATAGTTCCTGGGCAGTGCTAATAGCATAACGTCTCCAGCAAAGCCCTTTTTGTTATGGTGCGTTATCTATTCCTTGGGCTCCGTGGTGGGCGGCACACCACAGGTTCCGAACAAACTTCGCCTCTTATGGCAAACCCTCAAACCAAAACCCCCAGTTCTGGACGTGCCGTTAAGAGGCATCGTCCCGAATGAACAGTCATAGTAAAAGATCAAGAAGATAAAACTTTTTCAAGATTCATGGTGATCCAGTTCGAGGTCCCCGACAAACCTCTCCCTAAGATGTCACCGTTTCTTGTAGCAAAGGTTCTCGACAGTCAGCTTGGTGCTGATTACAAGGCAAAGAAACTGCATTCCGGTGATCTGCTTGTAGAAGTTGCCAAAAATTCCAGAGCATTACGCTTCTAAAATTGACATCCCTAGGTGACATACAGGTAACAGTGAGCACACATAGAACCCTCAACAGCAAAGCCTACGGTACAGCCTGGCGTTTTGGTACACTGAGGGACTTGTATGATATGGGTATCCGTGGTCGAATGCTTCGTACCATTGAGAGCTACCTCAGCAGGCGTACCTTTCGTATTCAGATAGGAACAGCTTTATCTAAAGTGCTTGTCCAGGAATATGGCATTCCTCAGGGAGGCGTTCTTAGTGTCACTTCGTTTATTGTCAAAAACTCCCTTGCATTGGCTATCCCCCCATCACCGCAATATTCACTCTATGTAGACGACCTTCAGATCTCTGTGTCGTCTTGCAATCTGTCACTGTGTGAGCGACGAATTCAGCTAACCATCAATAAGCTATCAACCTGGGTCAATCAAAATGGGTTTAAGTTTTCCTCAGATAAAACAGTTTGTGTGTGCTTTTCTTGGAAACGCAGACTACTTCCAGAACCTGTTCTTGCACTAAACAATTTCACAGTTTCTGTGAAGCCTGAGTACAAGTTTCTGGGTCTTGCATTTGACAGCAAACTAACCTTTGGTGCCCATATTAAGAATCTAAGATTAATTAAAAGCTCACAAATCACTTAATATTCTTAAAGTCCTTTCCCACCGATCCTGGGGTTCTGACCGGACGTGCCTTTTGAGGATATATCGCTCGATAGTGCGATCACGACTGGACTATGGCAGTATTGTTTACGATTCAGCGAGGCCTTCCATTCTAAAAATGCTCGACCCTATCCATCATCTTGGGTTGCGATTGGCGACGGGTGCCTTTCGCACGTCTCCTGTGCCAAGTCTGTATGCAGAGGCCAACGAGCTGTCTCTTGAGAAGAGAAGATTATCGCTGGGCTTTATGTATTCCCCGAGAGTCAGGTCCATCTTTGATCACCCTGCGCGAATGGCTGTGGAAGACATGCGCTCTGAAAGGGTGTTTCAAAACAAAGCCACAATTGTGCCTCCCTTCTCTTTGAGATTGAAAAGTGCCTGTGAGAACATGGGACTCGATTGGAGGCCTCCGGTATACTGCAGTCTACTGTTGCGGGAGCACCTTGGGAGCACCCTGTCATTAAGTGTGACCTTTCACTCACGCGATACAAGAAAGCTGATACTCCTAATGGTGTTTCTTCAGGAATTCTTAGCACTGCGAAGTCAGTATTCCGAATATGTAAGCTTCTACACAGATTGTACAAAGGCGGAATCTGCTGTTGGGTGTTCCACGATTGGCTCGACAGTTCAACTTGTTAGGCAAATCAACTCTGCTTCTATTTTTACAGCAGAGCTCTATAGTCTGCTTCTTACCATAGGCTTCATACTTGATAAAAAGCTCTCTCACTCCATCGTATACACCGACTCCCTCAGTGCATTACATGCACTGTCTTCACTAACACCCGTCAAGCACTTCCTGCTTCTTGAACTGCGAAATAAGGTTGTTGCTGCCTCAAGACAGGGATACGAAATTGTATTTTGCTGGTTTCCCAGCCATGTGGTCATTCCGGGCAATTAGGCAGCAGATCGTGCAGCAAGTACTTGTGTAAAGCGAACAGTTAATCTCCACAGCTTTCCTTATGCAGACTACAGAGGCCTTCTCAGGCGTCATGTTAAGTGCAAATGGCAGGCTGAATGGGACCAAGAAATCGGCAACTAGTTGCACATGATCAAACCTCTTTTGAGCGAATGGCAGAGTGCACGCCACCAGGAACGCTTTTTTGAGGTTGTCCTTTGCCGGCTCTGAATTGGTCACACTCGTCTGACTCATGGCTACCTCTTTTGTGGGGAAGATGCCCCCACTTGTGAGCTGTGTGACAATGCCTTAAGCATTCTTCATATTCTAGTTGAATGTCCTGCTTATGAAGAATGGCTTTTGCATTTTTCGTAACTGTATCAAGAACAAGTCCCACTACGCCCAGCTCTGCTGTTAAGTGATGATTCTCTTGTGACATTGTTTTCAAATTTTTAGATAGTATCGGCCTTCTACACCGATTTTAGCTTTCTTAACCTACAGATCATGCCCATCACCCTTTTACCTGTTGGCACCCCATTACCATCTTTTATCTAATCACTGGTTACTAAAGCCTCTTTTCCTCTCCAAACCTTTTCCAGCAATAGTCTCGTTTTTGGTGCTTTATGGCCTTAGTAGTTTTTGCGCCATAAACACCAAATCAAGCAACCAACAGCGACAAACTTGTCTCCCGAATGAAGTGTCCGAGAGTGTGGACTGGGGCCTCCAGACACACAGAAGAGCTCTATTGGGGCGTCTCGAATTTGCGAAATGGCAAAAACTTTGTATAAAAAGAAAAAAAAAAAGTTGTACACTATTTTAGCATGAAAGTGCGGATGCTCGACTCTCCAGATTCGCGTAAATTGGGACGCACGAAGGTAAAGCACTGCTCAATCTACATAAAACCAAATAAACTGCCTGCAAAAGAAAAAAAAAGTTAAAGGTTGAGCAGCGACACTTGCTCTTCGATTAAACACAAGGGGAAAATAAGCAGGCCTGCATTCTTTTGCGTCTTGCGATCGCTCGAGGAGAAAGGTCCTCCAAAAGTTGGGCAGAAAGCGGGCTCACGATGCTATATGCGTCCCGGTAACGGCGACTTGACGACTTTACGCGCGACTTGTGGGAGCGATTTTTGCAATCGAGAGGGAAGTAGGAAATGATGGGGAACGATGACGGCGCATGCGCGGCTCGTCGCTGCGCTATTTTTTTTATGCAGCGTGCCGCAGCACGCCACAGCACGCCGGCTTGCGTCTTGTGCTTAGTGTCCCCTGCAAAAACCGACCGTGGCTTCCCCAAGCCCTTGGCTCCAGGCACCATTGCGGTACTCTGCTCCGCAAGCGGAGCATATACAGTTACTCAACGCGCCCCTCCCCTCTATGGGTGAGGCCAACTCTGCCCAGCGGCGCCGCTGGGGAGCCGACATGTTATAAACACTTGTTGAACTGGATGCGTGTGTCATACCTCCCTATGTTCAGCAGCCAGGCAAAACTGCTGCACGGTTAAACTTTGCATATGTAATTAAACATTTCTCGTGAAAATCAAAATGTGTCACTGGTATTTGGCTAAAACATACGCACATGGAAATGGTATAGTCTTACAGGATTTAAGTTCTTAGTGTCCTTCAGATTGAAATTTCACGCAGGTACTCTCGTACTGACAAAGGGTGCTGTTATCCACGCCCTGTTTAATCTCAAAAGTGGCCTTCAGTTCTTGACTTGATTAAATTGAACTGCAAATGCACGTTTTCCCTTTTGTTTCCTTTCTTTTCTTCTCGTTTCTGCGTCGTAATTCGTAATCGTTTACTCCGCAGTGTAATCAAGTAATGAATAGCCAACTAGACCGATTCCAAGCATCTGGTGCCCTTCAGTTTTAGATTTGCTCAGAGAATGTGACGATATTTAAGGGCAGGTAAAGTAACGTGTTGGCGGTTGTTTTTTAATACTCATTATTCTAAACTTTGCAGGCCGAGCTGACCGGAAATGCTTTGAATGCAAATGTGAGCGACCCTTCACTGCCTAAGAAGGAAGGCCAGCCAGCTCATCTTTGGCAGTGCCAGACCTGTGGGCTACATTTTACCCCAGATGAAGGGAACCAACTAGTCGGATCAAATAGGGAATGGCCACAGCTCAGCCAACTACATGCGACATTTCTATTCCCTTCCCTACCTTCGTTTGCCGACACACCGTGCCCGTTTTGTTGACGTGTAATTTCCAAAACTTATGGCGGTGATATACCGTACAGTTGTTGGTTCTGTGGCATGCCTGCCTTTTTTTCAGCACTACAGAGCAGGAGTGACGTTACTAAACCACGCTTCTTGATCGTATTTAGTTGTGTCTTTGTCAATTTGTGTGGGATTGTATCGACGGAATCCTTTACCGCATGTTTAAATTGAAATGAAACCTTTGAAGTATGTATTTAATAGAGAAGGATCGCTTTTATGTATGATTAACGTGCAATTTTTACAATCAATTTTTTGGGGATTTTCAGTATTCAGTTTGATGCCTGTGTTTTTTCGTGATATGATTATATTACCCTTTGAATTACACTGCAATACGAATGTAAACCCCTGAATTTCTCTACTTCATCAGCATGATGTGTCTATGTTTGCTTGTTCTTTTAGTTCGTTCTGATTGGGCTTCTGTATTGGTGTAGTATAAAAATTTGATCTTCACTCCTAACAGAACTTGCCCACACAGCATTCGACTCCGAATGGCAGAGAACGGACTGCGAGGACAAGGGGGCGGAGCTCTCCTTCCAAGGAGCCGACTTGCAGAGGCCACCATTGAAGATGGACCAGGAGGGGAGGACAGACGGCGGTGCGACTTCTGACCCCAATCTTGTGGTGTCCACAGAACTAACAACACCAGGTATGAGAAGACGCACATGGGACAATACTCATCCAGCCTCGCATCTCCTTAGCACCTTTTTGTAGGCTCGGTTTTCCAGAAAATGGAAAACGTGTGGAGTCTGATGTGGTACACAGCTTTCCCCACGTGGAAACTTCATTAAGTTTTAATTATCGGCCTGCACCAAACCGAAAAAAAATATCGCAACAAAATTTAATGCTTTCTTTTTGTTTTTGTCTTTTTTTATGTGAGGGGGGGTTATATTCCAAAGTCCAAAAACTACAACTCAAGTGAAAGTAAACAAACAAGCTGGGCTCAACTGAAGGAACATTCAGTCCGAGCACTCGAAGTTGCAATTGATACATATTATTTAATATCGGAGAAATGTATTATGCTGAGTTGGTTATTTATTACAGAATTGTCTTTTTTCCTTTAGTTCCGGTTGATTGAGTAGCTCTCACAAACGCTATAGATTATTTTCGACGCATAAAATAGCTCGAAAAGGCTTCGCTGCTTCAAATGATTGAAGCTTTTTTCACAACATTAATTTGTGTCGCCGAAGTTGCTTTAGACTGGCAAATGTTCATATCAATGTCAATATAGAACCGCGTTTTTCCCTCTTTAAAATCGCTCCTAAAATATTCACTGTGTACCTCAGCGATTTTTCAAGTTTCTAAGGTACATAACGATTATTCTACGAGCCTATTGAATGCTATTTTGTGTAACCTAATAATCTGTGGGTGTGTGAACGACCCTTTCAGCGTTACTTAATACACAGTCACAATCATTATGAATGTCAACACGTTATCACCCAGCGCTCCGTACTGGCAGCAGTATGCAGCCGCAGTGTTGTAGGCGTTATCTAAAAAAAAGTAAAGAAATATGTTACTCGTTACTCTCAAAATAAAGGAACGCAATATTGTTATCGACAGAAAGTAACGCACGTTACTTTTGCGTTACATGTTTTTTTATAAATAGGCAGTAACAGCGCTTTTGTTTTATTTTGATGACAGCATGTTTCGACACTGGGACGACAGGCGCGGGCGTTGGTATTTTTCTAAAGCAGAAATTTTTGCGTCGGGAAAAGACAGGCAAAATTTAGAAAATATGTAGAATGAGTGCAATAATTAATTACTTGAATCATGTACTACGTTTCAGCTTAACTCTAGACGCAGCCTACGCTACGAGCTAATCAGACAAATCAATCAGCGTCAAAATCACGAGTCCCTTGGCCTTGTGTGTTTATTTCAGCGATGAGAGAACACGCACAGAAACACAGAGAACACCATGATGGTTCCCTTTTTCCTCTCTGATAATTTCCATCAGCCTGTAGCGTCAGCTGCGTCTTTACTTCAGGTAAAACGAAGTATAGAAACTGGCAAAAATTACAGGTGTTCGTTTTTCAATTAAAATTGAGGAAGAAAAGAAGGGGGTGACGAACGTTTTCTTCCTCAAGTTTAATTGTCCCACCAACTCGCTCGTTCTGTCCTAACATCATTTTTCAAGTTTTCGGAAGATGTAACGAGTGATGTAATTATGTTACCCGTTATCGTGAGTACATTGCCCGTAACTGTCTTGGAAAAGTAACGATTACGTTACCGTGTTACTAACAAAAGTAAGGCGTTACCGGTAACGACGTTACTTGTAACACGTTACCGCCAACACTGTGCAGCGGCGACCGCGGCGGCTTGACTTCTCTTCCGCACTTGGTTAGCAGAACGTGCAAGCCACCACAGCTGCAGCACCATAGGGCTGCCAGAGTCGAGTCTTAAACGACCGCCTGTAGACATTTACAAGCTTTGCGAATGAACCTTTTTAACATCTCAAATGAACGAATGCCTACTATAGGCCGCACTGGCATAATGTAGGTATTCTGGACCATGTTCAGAACAATTAAAAATGCGCCGACCTTTCTTGCTTTGTTGTGTCATCCCAACAGACTGCATCGGAGCATGCTATGGCGACAAAGTGGATACCTTTGACCGTAACTGCCGCAGAGGTGACACCTCTCCCCAGACCAACAATTCTGGCCCACACAAGCAGCAGACGCACCGACGACCGAAGAAGCACCCGTGCCGCTTCTGTCCTTACTCATGCCTTTCCGCAGCGGCTGTCGCCATCCACGAGAGGACTCACACTGGCGAGAGGCCCTTCAGTTGCGATGCCTGCGAGAAAACATTCACGCAGAAGCCTCACTTGATATCTCACGTTAAAATTCATACCGGAGAGAAGCCGTTCAGGTGCAACACGTGCAGCAGGGCGTTTAGTCGTAAATGCATCTTGGCAAATCACGAAAGAATTCATACAGGAGAGAAGCCGTTCAGGTGCAATACGTGCAGCAGGGCGTTTACTCGGAAGTACAAATTGGCGAATCATGAGAGGACTCACACCGGAGAGAAGCCGTTCAAGTGCGAGACCTGTGGTAGAGCGTTTGCGGCTGATACCTATTTACACAGTCATCGGAAGATACATCGCAAGTGATCAAAACCCTCACATGCATCATAGTTGTGAAAGGGGTTTAAACGAAATACTCGAGCACCGACGTGTGTTCATTTGGCAGGGGTTCTACTTGCGAGCAGTGTGTGTTTTGCATGGTTCAAAATGTTTCAGCCTGTTATTTATCGCGTAAACACAGATAAAAAAAATGTGAATTTACCTTAGACAAAGCGACCAGAGTTCTTTTTTGTACACGAAAAAAAGAAAATACTCGAAGCCTAATCTTTTTTTTATTCATTTAGAGTCATTAATCACGTGATGCACCTGGACCTCTAGGTTGTCTCTGGGGTCACTTACGTTCCTTAGAGGTCGGCCTACTCATGACCATAAATGTACAAACTTATAAAATAACTAAGGTCTTTCAATAGCAGCAATCTTGAATATTGCAAATGTTAAGAAAGTACAAGAAAAACCGAGTACCTAATGCGGAGGGGTCAACATAATTTTAGGATGTAAAAATAAAGCTACAAGAAACTTTTTAACACACCAAGCTGGGAACTAATGCTTTACTCATTGGGCTGCAAGAGTATATACATGACTCGAAGATTTAGAAATGCAGCGTAATTTTATATCTCATTTCGTAATATTCTTGGTCCTTTTTCTTTTTGACCGGTTTGAGTATCTGAATCTTGATGACATCATTCAATGTACTACTTGCTGCATGAAGTACTTGTATGTAAGTTTTCCTTTTGCATGATTTTATTATTTTTTTTGCACATTCACAAAGACGGTCCTGATCATTTAGGATATTCATACTTTTAGTGCTATTCACTTTGTTTCACTTTAGGCACGAGCGCGGACGATGTTATGAGCCAGAGGGCCAATAAAACAGTGCAGAAAGCGCAACGTCATGGCGTGCTCTCTGCGCTTGATAGGACTAGCCGGTGGAGGACCACGTACAGAGAGATGGCGAATACCGGCTAGTCCTATGGTCCTATAAACTGCAGAGAACTCGTCATGGCTTTGTGCCTCTTTCGCTGTTTGATTGGCCCTTCGGTTCCTAACCTCGGCAGCGCTCAGACCTGCGCTGAAACGAAGTATAGTTTCACTTGAATTCGTCAGACCTTTAAATATTCTAAATTCTTCTTGTAGTAGACTGATCATATACATGTGTTGTACTAAAGGCATAATTGACTCCATTGTGTATTCCTGTATCTAAATACTGTATATGCATAATCCATCTAAATATGTCTTAATCTGCACTGAGTGTACAGTGGTTGACACTATTGTCTGATGCGCGAGAATTGGTGGAAGTGGAGTCTTCTTCCCAAACATATAAAACATTTGTTTTGACATATATACAGGGTGTTTCCAGAAAAACGGGCAAAATCGCTACTGCAAAAACGACGCATCGCAGAAAAAAGAAGCCTGATGCCATAGTGGTGTGTGTCCAAGGAAAATTGCTAGAGCTCGATATAATGGGTTATTTAATAAATTCTGAATACCTAGATATTTAAATATTAGTCTTAAACGGATGGTTTCAAAGATAATATTGCTCGGTATCATCGAGAAGACTAAATGCACCCATGTTATAATGGCATGAGGCACGCGCAGCATTTTACGGCGTTCTGAAAAAATGCTTAATTTGGATACAAATCTGGCTTTCCGTTTCTTATCGGAGAGAATCTCCTCGTGGTCAATCTCGCCTCCCGATTGCCCGTGGGGAGATGCACGCGATAGGAAGCCGAAAACAAGACAGGCGTCCAAATTGAGTATTTCTTCAGAATACCATTGTAGAGTGGGTGTTTTTCATAGTTTTTGATTATTCTCAGCAAGATTCTATTTGAAACCATGCCTTTAAAATCAATAATTACCAATTTATTTATTAAATAAAATACTCACCCAATTTTATTGAACGCTAAAAGTTTTTCTTGATGTCAGGTGCAAAGGGCCAAAGCTGGCAGGGTGGTGGAAGCTACAAGCCCGTTGGACCAGTCATACGTCGATCTTTTGAAGCATGCCTGCGCTCCCAGCCATATCCACTCAGAGGGCATGGTCAGCAATGAAAGGGAGGCAGTTGTCTGGTCCGGCAAATATGTAGCTCCCGCCGCACTGTCAGCTTCAAGGGGCCGTGCAAAGATATTGGGTATTGGGCCTTTGGCATCAGTGGGACCCAAGCACTGTTGTGCCCATTACAAGAAACACGTAACAAACTAGCGTCACTCGCTAGATCGTCAAAACTTAACGAGTTCTTAGATTCGTTACCGTCCTAAGAACGTAACAATATACAGTTACGGTTACTTTCAAAAGAGAATGATCGTTACTTTTGCACCAATTTGAATATCACTCTTATTCGACAGCGAAAGAACTTAGACAACAGTTCAACTTCTACGGAGTCATTTCTTTGTGTGTTATTAGTTTGTAAGATTTGTTGCTTATGTTTATTATTTTGAAAACTGGTTTTAACGACTGTGCTCTTTTTTATTTTCTCTTTTTTTCGCAAATAATTTAGTAATTTTTTGCACCACCATGAGGGCTCAGCAATAAGCTTTGGTTGAATAAAACGCTGGTTTGAACAAAGAGGTAACCACGTGTCGCCAAATTTTTTCCCCATTTGAAGGGATCCACTCTTGGGAGTATTTATAGGTATTCCCATGAAGATGGGGTATAATGCATTATATTACAGTATACCCCTTTTTCTTGGGAATGTTGCAAAGGCTCTCAGATTTCACTCTTTTAGAAAGTCGGCAAACCAGCGCACTCTGTTGGGCACGCGCAGAGTGGAGGTTGCGAACAGCTTCGCTGATTCTTTCATGAGTTTGTTTTGAAAGCCCTTAAAACCCGGTTTCAAGCGCACTTGGAGCAGGGCTATTAAAGGTGTGTCACAAAGCGATCCGGACATGAATAAATTGATAAAAAATTACTGACAAGGACATTATAACTAGGGTTATCTGGTGGAGAAATGTTAGGGCCGAGTTTAGTGTAATGAATAGTAAATTAGCCGACGCTCTTATGGGCGAAAAGAAGGATAATTCTATTCGTGATAAGACGAAGCCGCGTTGTAGGCAACATAAATTACTGATGACAACAGTAGGCTAACGACACATTCCGAATGTTAAGCGTGCAAACCGGGCTTAGCGACAGTAAAGAAAAGGAAGAAAATGGAACACTGACAATGACCTATCGACCCTAATCGCAAACGTTTGTCACGAACGCAACTGCAAAAGATAGTTATTCCTTCAAATTTGCCCCAAAGAAAAAAAGAACATCTTATTTTTTAGACTGCCAGGTCTTTATACCAGGACTGGGGGTAGGCGACTGGGAGGTCTGCAGGGTGCCATTAAAAGGGTTGCGCTGCTACACCCCCATTTGAAATTTTTTTTTTAGCTTACTAATTTATTTGAACACGGCGGTTTTCGTCAGAAAAAAATAAAGCTTGTGTTGGAACACTACTCACATATTTACTGACTACGTGATGTCGCAGATAGGGGCATATAAAAAGGTGAATGGGATGGGACGGCGGGGGGCGTTGCGGCAGTAATTTGCCTAGGGCGCTTGATGGGCCGGCCGTGCTTTATGCCGTCTGATGCCTGGTGTTGATAGGATTGGTGAACTAGCACCTGGCACCACACGCCCATTTTCACAAGAACAGAAGCTGCACAAAAATTGGACGACTGACAGAAAATCTATTGGCGGCACACACAGAGGAGCCACCGTGACGAGCGCTCCGACCAGCTCCGGAAGACTGCTTTCGTGTACCGGCTGATGCTCAAACTGGAGAATTCGAATGTTTTGTCAAGAGGTGTGTCGCAAACTTCCAACTTCCTGCGCAACGTGATACAGCACCAGTGTGCTAAAGAGCCAACATTAACCGTCAAGAAAAATAGGAAGGGCACGAAGCTGGAATGCAAAAAAAAAAAACACGAGTGCGTCTCTTTTTATTGTGAGTGTATTCGAGCATTTTTGTGGATCATTTCTGGGGGACCATTGTATAATCCGCGAACGTGAACAGAGCATTCCAGAAACCAGATGGCACTGGGGAGGAAGCTTTCTACCTATCTGCTTACGCAATATAGTGCTACTTCTAAATAAAAATAAAGAAAAAGCTTGTCTTTTTGTTCCGATTATCAGCAAACAACTTGACCTTAAAAGCCCCCCCACCCCTGATTCCGAGTCAAGAGGTCTAACGAGGCAAGAACGATCCATCATTGGACCTTCTGACTCGGACCTTTTGACTCGTTGGACCTCTTGACTCCCTGTCCGATCACCGGAAAAGGGGGGGGGGGGGGGGGGGGGGGGGGCTTGGAAGAAAGTTTGAACAAGAAGAGCAGGAAAAGAGACAAAAGCGGAAAAGCGATGAATGGCGGCTTTCGCGTGGCAAGGAGGGACGTGACAATCACTCCAGTGCAACGGGGTAGGATCTTGCGAATAATCACAAAGCAATAAAAAAAGGGAGATGAGAGAAAAGGATACAGTGACCTCGGGGACGAGAGGTTTTGGGATCCTGAATGGCTGACTGTGTCACGGTGTTGTGCGTTTTCCATTTCAATCGGCTGGTGACCAACGCCATCTCTTCTTCCGGTATGCTCGAGTACCGGAGGAATTTCCCGAGAGTTGTGCGCGCTGTACGGTCGAGGGGATGCAGGTTGTTTCTTGAATTTAGAAACCAACGAACAGTTAGTCGGTCACTTAATGACGAGGCGCGTATACACAGCATGAGCTGAACTAGCAGGAAATTTTGGGCTATGTGGATGATTTTGACAGCATAATGTTTTACAGTCATCCTGAGGGTCAACATGCCTTTCCGCAGTATATTGCCAATATGGCCAGTGCAGCATGACTGCTAACTCGCACCACGCTGCACGGAGAACGAGCATCGGCGTGCGTTTGTGCAATCACTACAGCGTGGTGCACGTAAAGACCCCTAATACTCCGTTTCACCTAAGGATTGACCTCAGCCTATGCTAGAAGCCGAGGGCATCGCAGGACATCTCGCTTCGCGGGACGCCGAACCGGTAGGTCACGTGACACAATGTCGGTGCAAAATCGGTTGCGCTGACTGGTTCACTGACCTGCGTGAGTCCGACCGCGTCCGCCTGCAGCAGCCTGCGACGTTACATATTTTTACGGGTTGCTATGGCAGTTTACGACCACCATTGCTGCTGCAAGGCGCGGTCGTAAGAGGCTTGAAAACCGGTTGTGTCAGACTTGGTCGTAGTTGGTCGCAACAGTGTGAACCAGCCTTCAAGGTAGAAGAGAGTACATCTTTCATACAGCCCCGGCTAAATTGCTGATTTGTTGGTTAGATATATGTAGCTTCTTGGATGGGTGACAAGCTCATCGCTATGTCTCAGTATTCACAAATACCACTCAGATTTGTGCTGACTGCGTATGGTTCATCATCTTTATTTTCTTTCTCTCATCTTGTATAATGGAAGGATACCAAGCGGGAGATCTCGTATTTGGTTGAACAAC